CAGCTTGGATTGCAGATCGTGATCATTGGAGTTCAAGAAAAAGCAAAAGAGTTTGTGGAATTCATCAAAGGTATCATTCTCATCACAGTTTCTATCTAAACACATTGCAGATCCTCGTTTGGGAATTGAAAATTGTTTAATTTCCGCTGTGCATGTTAAGTAAATTCCCAACAAGTTCAAGATCCGAAGTTCAATTTCGGTCCATGATTTGCACTTCTCTCTACGCGTGCACGTATAGAGAGCCTCTATGCTATATAAAATGGTCATTGCCTTTATCTTTTTCCTATATGGGCGCCTTACAATTGTTTTCCCTCCAACACCAAACATTTTCCAATTCATCACTTTGAACTTCTATTTCTTATTCACCCGATTATCATTTTTTGCAAATATATATGATTTTGATGTTCTCATAGAGGAGAACACGAATCAACTTCGATCTTCCAAATCGAACGAACGAGTCCCACTGAAAATTATGCCAAAACAGCCCGAACAAGCCATTTTCTAACAAATTTTACAACCATTCACATCTGAACTAATCAGTCAGTCTGTTAGACAAGTATTTTTTTTTTCCAAGTTATTGATGGGTGGAAATCCGAGGTGTAGTCGGACATCCCAACGATGTTGAACACCTTCTTTGTGTTAAATATATTGTTGTTTATCTTTTAGGGTATATTAGTCTTTTTACTTATTTTTCTAATATTTTTCATTATGTAATAGAACAAATAAACCTTAGCCTCTTATCCATTTTTCTACTTTTTGTATATTGTTTTTAATATGGTATCAGAGAACCATTTCATGATTCTCGTTAAAGAACGTTTATTTCGATGATCGTACATTTTTCATGGATTTTGCTAGTTCTTGTTTGATTCAGGTTTGATTTTGCATCTCGATATTTTTTGTTTTTCTGATTGGTAGTTATTGTTTATTTCGTAATGGCTAGAATTCAGGATGATTTTCTTCAATCTAATTTATGCAATTAAATGGGAATAATTATTTTTATTGGAATTATGCAATGAAGAATTTTTTTTAAATAGAAAAAAGATTGGGGGCTATGTTTCGGGCACATGTGTTAGACCTACAAATGAGAAGTTACCAATTATATGGAATTGTTAGATACTCGAAAATTTGATAATTCAAAGATTATTATTTATGTTAGTAATTTTGTTGTGCAGTCAATAGGCACACTGTTGGCCAAGTGTGCTACCAAGGTAGTTTAGGAGCATCTGCCAAGATTGTATATGCAACTACGTTTGCAAAATAAGACAAATTAGAAATTGATATTCGTACCCTTCAAGAGTATGACTGTTCAGGAGTTTTACTCTAGTATGACATACCTATGGGATCAATTGACACACACAAAAAATACAGATTTACAGGCATTTGCAACTTTATATTGTCCGAAGAGAAGAACAACAATTGGTACAGCTTTTTATGGCCCTACATCATGATTTTCAGGGAGTTTATGGGACGATCTTGCATCGTAGTCCTTTTCCTTATGTTGATTATGTGTTTAGTGAACAACACTTTAGGAGATACTCCTCAATTCTTATGTAGACAAGGAGATTGCTCTACGTCCAATCCATTTGTTTTCACAACACCTCAAAAATTGCATGTCAATAATTAAAATAGGCCGCCTTCGAATGTTGTTCATGATGAATGGCGTTTTTTAAGTAGAAGGTTAATTGGAAGGGACAATGTCCTCCATTTTTTAATAGAGCCACATAATAGCATCCTTAACAACGACAACATCAAAACCAACAACAACAACATCAACGACCCCAACAACAACATCAGGTCCCTCTACCATGGAGGTTTGGAAACCAACCACCTTAACTTAATACTGCAACAACTGCACCATCAGTAGATCCATTTATGTTTGAGCAATTTCAGAACTTCCTTAAAATATAGTAACATGCAATAAGGCTACATTCAATGTCTATCTTCTCCTATATAGGTTTGCTATCTTCTAGTTTCTCAGGTATGCTATTCTCTTTGTGGGTCTTAGATTCTGATGCTTCCCATTATATGTCACCTAATTTATCATCTTTTGTTTCTTTATCTCCTAAGTCTTTTGCGAAGTTATGACTGCTGATGATACTCCTATGCTTATAGTAGGTGTTGATTCCAATTCGCATTGTTTGTCTTTGTGTGATGTCTACCATATTCCTAGTCTTACTTTGAATCTTATTTTTATTAGTCAATTATGTGAATCTGGATATTTAGTATTTTTTCTTCTTGCACTTTTTATGTACAAGACCTGTAATCTGAGAAGCTGATTGGGATCAGCTGTAGGCAAGGAAGACTTCATATTTTGGATCGACTTAAAGTACCAGAATTAGTGCTTCTAATGTTGACTCGTCTCTTTTCGTTTCGTTTGAGTAATTTTTCTTCTGTCTTTTATTTATGACATTCTCTCCTTGGTCATGTTTTAGCATCTCAATTACAGTTCTTAGTTTCTACAAGAGCGTCAGGAAATTTGAAAACTCTTGATATTCTTGATTGTCGTTGTTGCAAATTGGCAAAATTGTCCACGATGCCTTTTAATAGAAGTATTTCCATTTTTGTTGTCCCATTTGATCTTATTCATTATGATGTATGGAGCCCCTTTCCCATAACCATTAAAGGGTTCATAATATTATATTTTCTTTTGATTACACTCGTTACTATTGGATTTTTCTTATGAAACGTCGCTTTGATGTGTTTGGTACATTGCATTTCGAGCACTTGTGAAAACTCAATATTTGGCTATTATCAAATGTTTTCGATTTGATTTGGGTGGAGGGTATACTTCAAATGCTTTTCTGATTTATTTGTTTTTATGGAACTTTTCACCAAAATGCTTATACATGCACTCCTGATAGAATGGTGTTGTTAAAAGGAAACATAGATATCTTATTCAGACAACCCATTCTTTTTTA